GCTTTGGAGCTTTGGGGGTTTAGGGGTTCAGGGGGTCTAGGGGTTTAGGAGTTTAGGGCTTTAGGGCTTTAGGGGTTTAGGGCTTTAGGGCTTTAGGGGTTTAGGATTTTATTTGGGGTTTAGGGCTTTAGGGCTTTAGGGGTTTAGGATTTGGGGTTTAGGATTTCGGGTTTAGGGTTAAGGGGTTTACGATTAAGGATTTAGGGGCTGAGGGTGTGGAGGTTAGGATTTAACGTTTCGTGTCGATTGCCTGGGAGAGAGAGGGCGGGAGAGAGAGGGAGAGAGCAGGTGGTTAGGATTTGGAGCAATGGTTTTAACGGGTTCTGGGTTTAGGGGTTGGTTAGATTTGTTGAACAAGGATTTGAACAGCGCCTCGTATCTGTTCTTGAATGGCCTGCAGTTATTCTTTAAGGCTGGGGCTTAGAAGGGGTTGTACTAGGGCCTGCAATGAATGGCATGTGTTGGTTTACAAGTTGTCTTCGACAATATACGTATTTGTTTGAAGCAGGGTCTTGCAAGGGCTCCAGTGGACTTTATACGTCAATGTGCATACTTGCTTGTTTACTGCCTTTTCTTATGGTGGCTTTCATATGGTTGTTGAAATTGGTCGCATGCGACTTTTCGAGGTCCCTGCTGTGTGTTTCCGGATTTTTGGAGGCTTAAAACCCATGAACTCGGTGATGTTCCTCAAATCAGCATATCGCAGAAAGCGTGTATACATTACGGAATATTCGTTAGAGAAGGCAGACTTTGGACAAAGCCGGAGTTTGTTGCTGGTTCGTCTTACATTACAGTCTTGTTGAGGTTCGCGGGTGTCTGCTGTAGGATTTGGGACTAATTAAACCCGAAAACCCAAGCGCTAGACCCTAAATCCAAGCCCTTTTAACCCCGAAAATCGAAACCCTTTGTAGCCCTGAGCACTAAAATCCCAAGTTACCCCAAAGCTCTAAGCAGCTCAAGTCCTAGAACCGAATACTCTAATTCGTGCTTGTCCTGGATTGCGTTGCGGCAGCCGAAAGCACGTCCAAACCATTTTTGCACCCCGCACAGCCCTGGAACTCTAAGCTACCGCATGCATATAACCGTCTTGATTACTCTCCTACTTTTGTCTATCACTCTGATCCCTAGACCCCAATCCTAAACCCTGAACGTCCCATCGTGTTGAGAATCTATAGGGCTCCAGCCCTAGGGTTGTAGGGTTTGTCCTGGGCTTTGCGGGGCATCGATTTTGTACCTATCCGCCTTATGTGCCAGCTCGTTTATTTCGGATTGTTCATTATCGTGTATACTACAGTATGCAACAAAGAGGGCCCTTGCGCACGACTCCCCGGCCCAGGCGTGGGACTCACAAATCGTGGCCGAGGACTTTCCCAGCCATGGGGTAAAGCTGTGTGATCTCAGGTGATGCAGTAGCCGCAGTGACTCGGAGTACTTGTCCGATTTACCCGGGGTAGGAAGACCCTCGCGAGCGGATGGCTAGACCTTTCTTTTTGTGGGAAAGACCATGGAAATCTGGGCACAGGTAAAAGTCAGGACCCCGATCTGTCTTCTTTATGCAAACTGTGGTCCACTTTGAACCTGCTACAGTGGATCCCCGGATCACCCGCAACCCTAAAGCTGGGTTACTTCAGCATCAGCAAGTATGTAGTTTTGAACTGTCCTTGTTTGGTGGTGTGGAGTGTGAGAGCCGAGCATGAGTAAGACATATCCTAAACCCGAACCACTTTGACTCTAAGCCCGACAGCCTTGAAAACCTTAAGACGGCCAAAGCCCAAACGCCCCCCCCTCCCCCACACAGGGCTTTGAAGAACTACAGCCCATTGCAGCAGCTATATTAGCAATCTTGCTTCTAATCGAGAATAAGAGAGAATACCCCCTTTCGAGTAAATCTATAACTATATAGTATAATATGCCCGGCATTACCACCGCAAGTCCTAGACTGGACCCTGAACCCCTATCCGAAACCCGTAAGCCCAGAAGTCCCAAAAGCCCTAGCAGGACGTGGAAAGGGAGGACCGCCTCTTCTTCGAGCTCCTGGACGATGGCGCGCCGCCGGACGTCCGACACCTGGGAAATCTGGAGCTTCCGGTGCCTGGGACGGCGTTTAGGGTTAGGGTTTGGGTGTTTAGGGTTTAGGGGTTTAGGGGTTGGCAAGTACATAAACAAGGTCTACCTTTCCAAAAGCCTGTGTAAAATTTTGTACATGCACACATACATGTTCCGCATGCGAAGCCACATGTATGTATGTATGTATGTATGTATGTATGTATGTATGTATGTATGTATGCATGCATGCATGCATGCATGCATGTATGCAGGCATTGCTGTATGCCTGCATGTTTGCATGTGTACATGTATGTATGTATGTACGTATGTATGTTTGTATTGTGACGTACTGTAACGCAGTGGAATGTGATGTAATGCAAAGTAGGCATGCATGCATGCAGGTATGTTTAGCTAGGTTCATGAGATTGTTATAGTGAAAGGTGCCCTTTGCGGTTCACGTTAAAGTGTACTCTAGAGCTTCCTGTGCGTGACGCAGTGTTCCTTTTGGTCCACCAACTTTGTGTTCACCTGGTTTCCTGGCTTTGATATGTTTCTGTGTTAGGTCGTTTGGAGCAGTGGGTAGAACATGGTGTGGAGTTTGTTCTTCAGCTGTCACTGGTTCCGATGTAGCCAGCCACTGCTTAGTTGTACAAACCCCAGCTGAACATTCGCTGCTGAAACTGAAACCCTGAGCGACAAACAGTGACACCAAGTTCTCTCTCTCTCTCGAGAGAGAGAGCGAGAGAAAGAGAGAGAAAGACAGAGAAAGAGAGAGATAGAGAGAGATAGAGAGAGGGAGAGAGAGAGAGAGAGAGAGAGAGAGAAAGAGAAGATAGAGACAGAGAGACAGAACGAGCGCGACGAAGAGCATTGGTGTTCTTAAACACCAGCAATCTCAGTATAGCGCATTCCGATCATGTGAGGTCATCTTCTTCTGGATTCAAGATTCAGCAGGGTTTGTCTATTCTGAGCGTCTGGCTGCTGGTTGCCATAGGATCCTTACTCCCAGAGCTCCGATATGGTCAATGCAGCCCTGCTAAGGGAGATTGTGCCTAGGAGCCACACTGCCCGTGTCTCTGCTCGGGGCATGTTCAGCATTGCGGCTGTAGCCCGAGCACAAAATCCCAAGCCCGAAAGCGTTAGTTCATAATGCAGGCCCAGTAACAAGCGAGAGCGGCGGTGTGTGACAGTCGCTGTCTGTTTGTCCTTGATGTGTGTCAGCTCATGTACCGAGATTTTCTTCTGGTGTCAGCGTCATGGTCCTTGTGGTGGGGATCAGATAGGGTTATCATGGGCATATATGGTTAAGAACTTTTTTGCTAGCATATTCCAGCCTTGTGTTAATTTGTATGAGCACTCATCTGAAACCGAAGGGTAAGAGCCGCAAGGGAGCGCGCCTTCAACCCTCAGCCCTATGATTATAACACCTATAAGTAACGAGGAACGCGACATTAAACCTCAGACTCTGAACTCCTGTGACTCATTGGTTCCCCAAACCCTAAACCCTAAATCCTAAATCCTAAACTGGCGCTTTGAGGCATCCAAGTTCTGGCATGGGACACGCGCGGAACTGCAACTCAGCGACTCCCAGGACATCAAGCTCCAAGTCACTGGGCTGAGGGTTGAGGGGCTTATATAGGTTTAGGCTATAAGGAGTTTTTAGGGTTTATTTAGGGTATAAGGGTTTAGGGTTTAGGCTATAAGAAGTTTTTAGGGTTTATTTAGGGTATAAGGGTTTAGGGTTTACGGTTTTAGGACTTATAGAGTCAATGGCTGAATTGCTAACTGCTGCTCGTCGTGCTCATGCAGAGCAAGCGAGGTGCGCCCCAAACAAAGTGTTCCCTGACACCCTCACCCAAAGCTTGGAAATCCTAAGGGTCCTACACCCCGGAGGCTGCACCCCAGACTGCCGTCCCTTAAGCCTTCACCGGGAAAACACCCCAACGGTTGAGGCTACCCTTCAGACTTGTCTAACCCCGCCACTCGTCCTTGCGAAGTGGGAGGCGAAAAAAGCATTCTAACGGAAGGAAGTAATTGCCAGGTGGAAATCACCGCTCACAAGACGGTGGAAGAAGCCAAGAAGGTGGCACAGAAAGCCAACGAGGCTCTGGTTGTTACAAGTTGCACCAGTTCTCAGTAACAACTGTTTTGGCGATGGTTAGGATGACAACCCTTTTTGAACCTTCTAGCCTTAATTCCTGCAGACGCGGGTAACCTAGACCCCAAACCCCGCAACCCGAGCCCAAAACCCTGAACCCTGGACCATTCATTGTACGAGCTCTTCAAGGATCACCTAAAGCAAACCTTGAAGACTCCCTTCACGGTGCTGTTTCCCTGGTAGGGTCCCCTTTATGGGGAATCCTCCTGAGGTCCACAGTTCTGCCCCCAAGCCCAAGTGGTCTCCGACTGCACTTCCTTGGCGACAGCAGAGAGGCACCTAGTACGGAGGTCTGAATCATAGCGTTGCTATATAGCTTCCATCAGGTGCCAGTGGGGTTACTCTACAGATTACAGAGAAGGGTTGAGGGGTAGTACTAAAGCGGTCTACAATGTAAGACTTCGAATGATGTCCTCTTATCGTTCCTATGAAACGAGTGTGTATATATCTATATGTATGTATGTATGTATGTATGTATGTATGTATGTATGTATGTATGTATGTATGTATATACTTCGTAATATACACGCACATCTATATATAGATAGATATTCATATCGGGTATGATCCGAACAGAAGCCCTTTTTGAAACCCTTTGTGCAGGCGGCGTCGCGTTGTCAAGCCGTGTTCCCGGTTTATGGGAATTTGAACCTTACAGCTCCAAGTCCCGAAACCAAGCCTGAGCGAGGCGGCAAGCTGTAAACCCTAAACCCTAAGCCCCGAACCCTCTTGCCGCCGAGGGTGACTTTTTTGGTTAGACCTGAAGAGTCTGAAGAGTCCGAAGGAGCGAAAGATACGGTACGTGCGGCTTCAAGATCGTAGTAAAATGTTGGCTTCTGAAAAGGCTGCTGAGTAGAGGGTTCAGGGAACCCAAGCAATTCGTACAGTTCTGTAGTGGCATATCGGGTTATTAAATGCAGTAGGTAGGTTGACCATTGCGCGGTCGTGGCGCCCAGACGCGAGGATATCCTGCTGGTGCAATTTAGGGCTTAGGGGTTTAGGTTTGACCAGGACTGACTGGCTCACACTCCAGACGATTGGCTCCATTTTCTGAGCGACCCCGAAGAATACACCCTCTCAGCCCCCGGTGGCACATTCGAAGCGCTGGACTGCAAAGACCCTACTCGCCAACCTTAGTTCACCCTAAAACCCACAAACCTGAACGGTTTGCGGGCTTTTTGGGCTTGGGCAGTCTGGCTGGCTGACGCTCAGGCCAGGTACAAGAAAGGGCTTGGGGTTCAGGGATTGTGGGGCCATTGTGGGGCCTCTAGGTTCATCTTTGGAAGCTGCCTCGTGCCAATGCCCAGCCGCCCTAGACCATAAGCAAAGCTTGGGTACTGCCCCCAGTCAGTAACAGTTGGATAATATTTATATTATGGATATATGAGGCCCTTAATAGTAGCCCTATTCTAGACTGTTACTGTATGGGGGCAGTAACCGAAGCAAAGCCTACCCCGAGATCACGACATCGCAATCGATTTGTCTGACACCGATGAGCGAGTCCTGAGCATCGAGAGCCCACGTCGACACTGGCCTTTGTTCAGTAGGAGGGTTTAGGGTTTAGGGTTTAGGGGTTTAGGGTTTACCTATAGTCTCCTTTGTAGTTCCTTTTGGGGGATACCTTATAGAATCCTTAATATATAATTTGTTAAACCAAGAAAAGGAACTACAATGGAGACTATAGGTATTGTTTCAGTACAGGAGTCGGAATAAGTAGTCATACTATTCATCAGGGTTCCTTGGTAGAAGGTATACCCCCAAGATCCTATTGTAGCTATCATGTGCCAAAGGTTTGTCTGCAATTCTGTTTGTTGTTGTTCTTTGTGGGTGTGTCACCAACCGCTGTAAGCCCTAAGACCCTATAAACCCTAATTGGCATCCTGAACCTCATGCTGAACGCGTACAGGGTTGCACGATAATTGTCACAAGACTGAGACCTGAAAGACCAAGCCCTACATCCGAATTTTGCGAACCCTAAACACTGCAAAGGTTACACCATGACCATCGCCAGCTGGCCTAAAGATGACGACGAAGGTCCGATGCCTTCATCTCCCAGCCAAGGCTATGCATACGCCACGGTTGCAACTTAGATGCTGCAGCACAGCCTTTTCCTTATGCAGCAGTATATCATACTTCGCCCGGTCTGCAGTGCATGCTTACGTTGCAGAGAACTGTCGCAGCATAATGTAGGCACCTTGGTAAGCCGCCTTTAGCCGGTTCTTAGTTCCTTGAACCCAAGAAACGGTTAACCGAACCTCTGCTTGAAGGAACAAGCCCCGCAAAGAAGGTAAACAACGGACAGCCCTACCTTGCTCAAAAGATGGTAACGCATGGCTGGCGAAATAAGTTTACTTACCTCCTGGCGGCGATCTTCGCGGATGCCTTGGATGTCGAGATGTATTTCGGCTGAGCAGAACGCAGAACTCACAGTTGCTTGTGTAAACGGATTTTATGCCGAACTCGATAGTCAGCATTGTCGGTGTTGCAGTATATGGGACCCTGATAGAACTTTTTCTGTAATCAAAGTAGATCCTAGACTCTAAGGCCTTCAAGATCTAATATGAACTTACGGAAGATGAGTGTTTCCTCAACCCCAGGACCCTAATCCGAAAAACCTAACCCCTTAACCCTAAGCCCTATTATCCCCAAGTCCTCACCGCCAAACTTAAATCCGAAAGGCTCAAACTGTTTTGTGCGCTGAAGGTATGATGAGGTCGCTCAGCTTCTGGCAGAGCGCCAATTTGGCAAGTTGGCCTTAGCTTTGCGCAGAAAAGGAAACTTGGCAAAGCCCTAAACTCTAAACTGTCGGGGTGATACGTTTTCCCTTTTTTTTGCTCAAGAAGCATAGACGTGTTCCTGTTCCCGAGGGGGTTCGCTGAAGAACCTAGGAAAGCTTGACATCCGCTACTGGGTATGTGCTTTCTGTGTGAACCAACATACTGGCATTTGCGGTACGCCACCACCGACAGACTCTTCCGGCTCTCTGGCAGTGGTTGAGGGTTTCCATGGTTTCGGGTTTAGGTTGAGATCTTAAGACTTTGGTTTTCGGGCTTGGCCTGAACCCCTTGAGCATCCTTACGGTGCCTTCCTTAAACGAGCTCCTACACTAATACGGTTTTGGCCCAAAGCCGTTTTGGGTATGTAGGATGTAGGGGTTTATGCGAGGGCTATTCGGTGGAGGCTTTGGGTGTGGGGTTTAGCGAATACATGTTTGACATTCCGCCGAAGAAGTGGAAGAGCTTCAAGAGCCGCGGAGGCTTCGCTATAACGCCGTGCTCTTGCGGAACATCGAAGAATTTCACCGGAGACCTTAGCGACACCAGGCCGCAAGCAAATCTAGATGCTCCATGGATGTGCATTGTTGTGCGTTGTTGACTTGTGATTTGAGGTTCGTGCAATCTGATCGAGTGATCCCTTCGACCTAAACTCTTGATTCATGGAAGTCCGTCCAAACACAGAGTAGCCATATATACATATATATATATATAAACAGAAATCACACAGACGAACGAGGGTGACATAGAGCGACACAAAAATAAAGCGAGACAGGGGACAGATTGTCTGAGCCAGGACGGGGGGAGAGAGAGAGAGAGAGAGCGAAAAAAGAGAGAGACAGAGAGAAAGAGATATGTATGTATATATGTGTATGTATGTGTATGTATGTATATATATATATATGGATACATAAATGTGTTTACACACACACTTAGAGAGACAGAGAGAGCGAGCTTGCAGACGGACCCGGATAAAAGCCCAGTCTGCAAAGCCCTAGCAACCCTTGACAAAAACATAACATCGATAACAATCTGGAAGCAACCCTTGAAAGCGCCAAGGAGCTATACATGCAGCTTAAGCCCCTCTATGCTTGACTCAATGATGACCAAGCCCCTGAACAATCCGAAAAAGCCTTGCTGAGGAGATGAATAAGTTCGATGACATGATGGCATATCTGAAGAAGACCTTGCGTGCGCAAGGCCGTGTGCCGCGGTGTGAAAGCTTCCGGGGGAATATGGGGATCTGAGTGATTGTTGCTTGTGGATCCAGCATGCTACCTTCTTGTTCGTATGTTACACCGTAATGATAACTATGGTGTCAGAACTTACTAGCTTCTGAAGCGCTTGGGGAAGTTTCGGGCTGTCAGTAATGATATGCCCCTGTAGCCCCTCCAGAATCACGGTAGAATACTTATCCGCCAAAATCTAAACAAAGGTTTTGGAGGGGTTCAACCGTTGGGGTTCACGGCTTTTAGGCTAGAGAGACCCCCCAACGGAGCTTGCCAACATCGGACCGTAATGTCACAAAGCGTGCCCCTACACCGACAGTTATTCCATCGCCTTGGGATAAAGTTGGCAATGCCCCAAAGCGGAGTCGCAAGATCTCTGAACCATTTTTCTGCGGGCTAATATAGGATAGTCGCGGGATAGTATAGCTGTCCAAATATAGTCGTATCCTATCGACAGAATATCACAAATCCCAGCGGAACAGCGTTGGGTTGCGTCCTCAGTCCTCGACTGCCTAAAGCCGAGGTTCGTCTGGAGCAGGTGGTGGCCCTGGAGACCATTCGGAAAAGGGGTAGTGTAGTATGTTGGGGGAAGTGTAAGTGGTGGTACACTACAAGACTCCGGGGTATCCATTCCGGCTCAGTATAGCCAGGGCTCGTTTAGAGATCCGGGAAGAGGGTGTCGCGATTCCTGCACAACCCATCTAGAAGAGTTGCTGCACAGTCAGTCAGTCTGGTTTGTCTGTCTGTCTGTCTGTCTGTATGTGTGCGTCGGCATGCATGCGAATATGTGTATGTGTAGAAGCTCACGTACATCTGTATATACAACTGTAGCGGTATATGTGCGTGTTTATGTTTATGAATGTCTGTAAGTATATTTATATATATATATATATACACGGCCATCGAGACATATACATGTATGCATGTATGCATGTATGCATGTACGTATGTACGTATGTACGTATGTACGTATGTACGTATGTATGTATGTATGTATGTATGTATGTATGTAGCTATTTGTATGTATGTATGTATGTATGTATGTATGTATGTCTGTATGTAGGTAACCGTATGTATGTATGTATGTATGTACGTATGTATGTATGTATGTATGTATGTATGTAGCTCTTTGTATGTATGTATGTATGTATGTATGTATGTAGCTCTTTGTATGTATGTATGTATGTATGTAT